GTGCCCATTTTGTTTGCTTTTCCCCAGGTCTTTTTCATGAAAAACCAAGGCAGAAATCAGAGTTGCAGATTTTTTTTCTTGTATTGGGAAAACACACACACATAGTATTTCCAAGAACTATATTAGAATAACCTAATTTCAGTCTTTACTTAAAATGAATTTTAAGCTATGGTCAACTACTCAACTAGTCCAGTGGCTAATTGCTATTCTGGGGCTTTTCTAAAGGTGTAATAAGTAGTTGTAGCAAATTTTATGTGTAGGCATGTAATATGTCAACAGAAATCAGATATTTCAATATTAAAATAAGTACAAGCTCTTATCAACTAAATTAACTGTGAAAATATTTTTTCATTTGTACTGTATTCTTTCATTTTTTCTGGAACCAACTATTACAGATGTGCTTACCTACTTCAAGGGTTTAGCTGACCTCTTTCATTATTAGAGAAATAATCAAAGCAGAAGCAGGAATATTTAAGGTCTTTCTAGGGTATTTTTGCATTTCTCATATCTTATGATGCTGAGAAGCATAAAACTGGAATCTCTGTAATGAATGGTGTAAGCTGGAGACTTATCCTTAATGATGCTTTCTCCAGGGAATGCTTGAGCTGCTGCTTATTTTGTATTACTTTTTTCTCAGCCTCCTTTTCAGAAGCTTTATTTACCAGTTGGTTTGAACCAGCACCCCATATACCAGGATTTCTCTTTTACTCAGGTGCCTCAAAACAACCTTTCTGATCTGGTTACAGAAGAGGACATGAAGTCTGTGCTCCCTCTGAGAAGCATCAGCCCACAGAGATCTTCAGCCTCTTGCCAGCTCCTTAGGAAATAGAAGCTTCTTATCTTACTGGAGCCAGAAAAGCTGAAATGATTTATTTAACTGGCCTGTTCACTTCTGTTTCTTCCTTAATTTATTTATCATATGTTTATTTGTTCTGCTGTTCAAAGCATTAAAGAAAGGGGAGGAAAACCATTAGCAAACAGACAGTCCTTTTACTGAGGGTTATTTTGATTTGTGAAGCTGTTCTCATCCCCCTCAGCTTGCAGCATTCCTCAGCCAGCCTTATCTCCGCACCTTCCAAACATTTAAAGATATGCTGTGTCTCTTATTTTCTTAATTCAGACATTTGGGCAGAGCCTGCAGACTTGCAAATTAACATATGCTCTCTTCTTAAAGTCAACAGAGAACAGCTGCAGCACTGCTCCTGAAAGACTGCTCAGAGTACTGCCGCCCAGGGATCAGGAAATGACCTAACCACCAATATTTTGCTATGGCATCTGGGACTTTCTTTTTGACAGGTTTTTAGGATGAACTGCTGTAGAGAGGTCCTGGCCATTTTTTGATGAGGTGAATGGGGCTGCATTAGAGTCCTATTATGTGCATATTCTTTCCACATTGTTTCCAAACTACAGGGAGAAAATGCTCACTATTAACAAGCTACTGTTGGAGCAACACTCGTGTCATTCTAACCCTGCACTAGTTTGTGTAGCTGGGACTTACATGCACACAGCAGCCACTGAACGTAAGCCAAGAGGTGTGATGGGGCTGGATTTCCTATGCAGTAGATGTTGGGACTGTAGCATAGAGAGGACAATACTGGAGCTAGCTTGGAGAGAGAATGGAGCAGCAAGACAAAGATGCAGATGCCTGTTTCCTCATCCCGATAGATCTTGTAGGCTTGGTTCATCACCTTGCAGAAAGGGATGCTGGTACCCAAGCTGGCTGATTTGAATGTGGCCACGTTTAATTTCACTATACAGTGTGGACTAACGAATATGTATTTGTGGAGCGTTCCTGTGAGAAACCTGACCCATTAAGGCTTTTTCAAAATGCACAAGCAGTACTTGTATGAATGTGCATAAGGGTGGAAATTCCTCTATACACAGGACACTTGCTGCTGGGAAGCAATGTGGAAGTACTGTAGTCCCAGTGATTGCTAGTCACGTGCTGGTCAGACTGGCTGTTTCTGTTCATATCAATAGGTTTGCACTGATTCTAGCAACCAATGGACCAGCTCCTGTTTGCTCTTGATAGAGAATGGAGTAAAGAAACTGTATCTGGAATGGCATGGGGCTGTCCTACTACCCACAGAGCAGTAAGTCTTGTTCCCATTCTGACCACAGCATGTGCTCCTGTTATGGGAAGGCACTGGGGAACTGTCCTGTTTCATCTGTAGTTTATTACATAAGACAGTTGGACTTCACGGACACAATGCATTTCAAGGGGGTACAGGTGCGTGGGGAAATAGTCCTCTCTGTTCTGGCCAAATAAATCCTTCCTGTAAGTGGTTATGGCGACAGCAAGGCCTCTACCAACAAACATTCACTGGGCCAATTAAGCATTCCCTTGGGAGTGACAGGATTGTCACAGCAGTGGGGTTACAGTTACACCTGGATGCTTTGAGGGTCTCCTCCAGCGCTTTTGTGTCAGATCTTCAGCCATATCATCCCTCATCAATGGAGTCCTGGTGCTCTCTTTCTTTCCTCTGAGCACGGAATTTCAGAGGCCAATTCTCCTACAGTACATTGAGCAAATCTAATTGTTGTCCAGCGTCTGGAGTCCTGCTCTCTCTGACACTGTTAAACAATGAGCAGACAGTGTCCACAAAGAATAGTACTAGCTATTCAATGAGAAAAGCATGTGAAGAAAATGTGCGATGGAAGAGTAAGCACATCATAAGCAAATCAGGTCTACATGGCATCCTTGTAGGTATTTTGTACAAATTTGGTTTGGCTTTATTTTATCAGAATCTCTACCTGTGTCTGAAGCAGAATTGATATTTTAACCATTTTCAGCCTTCTCCTATTTGTTCATAACCCTCCTTCCATGGGGTGGGGGCTATGAAACTGATGTATCTTCCCAGGGATTTTTCTGAACTGCTTAAATGATATTTCAGGGCAATGGGGCGAATGGCCGCGGGATGGGGAGCACAGATGGTGTTCTCCTCCATCCCCTTAGTAGCAGGGAGGGACATTGAATGGAATAGGAAGGCACACCTAATCAACACATGGCTCAGAGGCTGGTGTGAACAGTGGAGCTTCGGGTTCCTTGAGCACAGGGAGGTTCATAGGACACCAGGCTGGCTGGCGACAGATGGTCTCCAGCTGTCTCGGAGAGGAAAAAGGATTCTTGGCCGTGACTTGGCAGGGCTCATTGATAGGGCTTTAAACTAGGTTGGAGGGGGGAGGGGGGCAAAACTGTTGGGGACGCTAGGAAACACCCAGAGCCTGGAGAAGATTCATTGCTCACCAGGAAAACACCTGGCAGGCAGAAGAGAGGAATACTAGATGCTCCAGTCTGCAAGCCAGCTTCATTGGGAGCCCACATTAAATGCCTCTATGCGAACGCACGGAGCATGGGGAATAAGCAAGAGGAGCTGGAGGCCTGTGCACGCATGAGGGGCTATGACCTCATTGATTCTATGATATTTGAGCCTTCAGGAAAGCCCTGTTACTCCTGGCCCTTATAAACAGGTCTAGCATTTAGGAAGCTGATAGCATGGTCCTTTATATCTATATCTATACCCATCTCATATATATATATATGTAACTGGGTGAAATCCTCTGATTTACCCTCAGCAAGTGGAAAAGTGAGGACCCCTCCAGTGTCTGCTGCTTACAGGTTGGAAGCGTCATAGCCAATTCCAGTGATGTCCACTCCATTACTCCCAAGAAGACACAGGGGGATAGTGTTAAAGCGAGCCACTTCTAGCCAGTACTAAGCCTGAGGGCCAAAGATTTAAGAAGCTAAAATTTTATTTCTCATTTTATCTGCTTACTGGAATCACCTTAATGATTTTCTGGCAGAACCTGGAGCCATGGATGTGTTTTCTTCTAACCATTGGTAAGTTGTTTTCCTTAGTATGTGAAGGTTTTCTACTTGTATACTCTGAGCACCACACTCGAAAACAGACCATGTGACTGTAGTTTTCCACAACAGATATTAAAAATAAGTTGTTGTTTCCGTCAGCTGAAATATTCCATTGTAATACATTTCAGCAAGGTAGAGAGAAGACAGATGAAGAAAACACCTGTCATGTCAGTGTTGAATAAACTGAACACATTCAAATGATTTATCTGGGCCTTGTCAGCTGTACAGTGCTCGTTATAATTGCTCTTAATATTGTCTAAATATGTTTTATAGGGTATTTCTCATATAAACCACTTTTGTGAACTTTGTACCAGGCACACTGTAGTGCCTGAAAGTCTACTGGCTAAACATGTTTTATAGTCTAGGTTTTCTGTACAAACAGCTTTCATGGGACGGTTTGTCACTGGACTTTGATCCAAACAAGATTATTGCAGGAAATTCTACCCTGGTATGGAAGGCTACAGAGCTATTAATATGGCATTTCTTTGCAGTAGGTTGGACTCTCAGGCATGGGCTTACCTTTTTTGTAATACACCAGTCATCTCCTGCAGAATATGTTCCCTTATATACCTGCACTAGTGTATTGATTAAAACTAGGCACCAGGGTGGGCAGAGGCTTTCAAAGGGCTGTTTTCTGCTTTGTTTCATCCCATTCTTCTAGTATATATGCCCTTGGGGGAATGTCAATCAGTGTAATAGCATAATGAAACTGTTTGTCTGGCAACAATTTATATAATACCTGTTACTCTAAAAGCTAGATGATTTCCAAATCAATAATTAGATTTACAAACATTTCCAGACACCATGAATTCTTCTGTTTTCAACAAGACCAATCAGTGACTACTTAGAAGGAAAAGCAGTGATGTGATGTATCTGAAAATTTATTTAACTCTGGATCCCAAGAGGAAAAGTCACAGAGATATCTGTGGTAAAGCTTGGTTACAAATGTGTATGTTATAAGACAAACCAAGTAGTGTCAGAAGTGAGATAGATGTGGCACAATTAGAACTGTGAAAGGCACAAGGCAGACCCATTCCTCCTGAGACCGTACTGCTTTGCTGCTTTCCACTAAAGGAGAGATCCAGAGCATGTCCAGCTTCTAGGGCAGGTGTGGAAGACGAGAAAGACGGTCTTAACCAACTCCATTGTAGACCTTGCACCTTATGTCAGGATTAGTCTTCTTCACCACTCGGATGGAACAGCTTTTCTTGTGGAACAGGCCAACACAGTTCACTCTGTCATAGTTCTTGGGGATTAAAACCCTGTCATTGAGAAAGGCAAAAAGAAAATCAGCAGGCAAAGACATGGACTGAGAAGGATGCTTACTGAGCCACAGCCATCCTGGAGGAAGCTACCTCATGGATCAATTTGGCTCATGGATTCCATTAATATGATTGCTGTGGATTATCATAGGAGGAATACCTAGCCCTGTTCATGGCTGTTAACAGATAAAGTGATATTCCAACATTTCTTCTGGCCATTCTGTTAGGGATAGGTATAAATTCCCGCACAGATAAAATAGGGATTAATTCTGTCTTCCCCATTCAAACTAAGACTTTTTGATAAAAACAAACCATTAACATTTAGAAAGCAGATTATCAGAGCAGGGCATGTGTGTTCTGTTTTGATAAGCAGGAAGAGTGGGCTCATGAGAGCATGGGGAAGGATGTGGAGCAGCTCTGTCCTGATTAGATGCTTGCAGGCAGGCCACTGGTCTGGTGTAGAGCTGCAGAAGCCCATATTTATGTGTGACGTGTGGTGTTTAGGTATCTAGAGACAAGCTGCTGAATAGAAGGAGGAAGAAAACTGAGTTTAGAGAGTCATATACTCTGTGAATGTCAGAATCAAAAGAAGAACTAGGTGATGAGGAAGAGCTGTGAGCTTGAAAGACCCTAGCTGTGTTCCATTTTGTTTCTTCCCAAAGAAGTGCATGCAATTGCCAGATTATTCTGCTTGGTCACTATTAGTGCTAACTGGGAAACAGGAAGAAGAATTTTGCTCATGCGAGTATAAAATTTCAATGCATGCTCTCAGTGATGTTCTTTGAACATTTCAGCCATTCCTGAATAAGCAAACAATGTTCTGGGGGAACTTACAAGCTGCAGCAAATCATTGCAGTCATCTTACACTTGCATTGGTAACAATCTTCAGTCTTCCACACCGCCCCAAAAACATAGAGGTTTCTGTTTGAAAGGCACCCTGCATGCACACACCAGAAAATGAGTCAGTAGAACAATGTGAACATGTGTCAACAGACACAGACCACAGTCTTATGTTTGTGGACTGGCAATCAAAACACTGGTTTTCCTTGAATCACACCAGGGAAGAATCTAACCCAGTGCTCTGCAAAAAGGATACCATGTGTTCGCTCCTGAAGTGTGCGTAAGTGTATGACATTGCATGATAATGTGGCAGCAACCACATACCAGAGAAGCATTATTTTGCTACTGCAATGGATTTGAGAAATACCTTAGCTTATGGCTACAGTAGGATCTTTCTGCTCTGCCTCATAATCAACATACAGGCCTAGGCTTTAATTTCTCTCTCTTCCCTTCTCCCCAGTTCTTATTAGACTTTAACTTGCTCTGCTAAACTGAATTTTAACAACTACTAGTATTGTCTTTGCTTTGATTTTAGCGTCAGATACCCCACTCGGGTTAGTCAATGCTGCTTTAAGTACGTGCTTTTTGCCACATGAGCAAGGACTTAAGCTATACATCAGCCCAGTGAGTAACTACTGAACAAGATAGCGTCTCTCTCTCTGTGTTCAGGGATGCCTACAGGTGGTTTGATTCCGGAGTATGCAGCTGTTTGGATCATTCCTCAACAAAGAATGTGTTATACTATTCCAACATTTCCAAGAAAATAAGGTTTTGGATCTCTGAATTAACGTTTCAGGGATGAATAGTATATTTGTCATTCTTACCGTATTTGCTGGCTGGTCTAAAGTAACAGCGAGCATCACACAGAGTCCTTGAGAAGAGAAAGATGAAGCAAAACACCAGCAAGAATTTCTAGAAAAGAAACAAGAATTTTTCTTTAAAATTAGGTGGTTTTTTCAAAGGTCTAGTGGACTACCTTGCACAGAATTAAGAAGTCCTACTGCTTCCAATAAACTCAGATTAAAAAACACTTGCAGTGTACGTACACACACACACAGACACACAATATAAGATGCTGACTTACCATACTTGCATGGGCTGCTTACATTTCATAATGAGGAGTAGTGTGTATTTATATACAGTGAGGAAACAATGGTCAGTACAAAGAGAGGTGATGTAAATGTGAGCACCCCAGGTGCCAATGGACACTCTAACCTGTTCCGATCATCGATCAGAAGGTGGCACCTCAAGAAGTCTTGCAACCACACTGACGTACGTTGGCATCTTGATCTCCATTGTGCTGGTGTAAATCTGAAGAAACTCCAGTGGATATGCTGGTTACTCCGCATCAGCATTGGTGTCAGTGGAAGAGTCTGACCGCCGGAAAGCTACACCTCCAGAACTGGCAGACCATCAAGGAACAGTGGGGAAAGGGCACATGCTAAGCAAGGCAGCAGGACACTATTGTTTGGCTGACCTGCTGAGAGGAGATCACTCTCAGGTATGGAACAGGCCATTCATACAGTGCAGTGGTGTGGAGAGTCCACTGTTCTCAGACTGATTTATTAGAATTTCAATTATTTTATATAAGACACATTATTTTGTCCATATTTAGCAACCTGGAGGGACTAGCTGTAGTTTTATGTCTCCCATTGCTGAAGGAAAGCCAGGCCCACAGGATAGAGGCAGGTCACTATGACCAGATAGCACCTTTCTGGCAGCAAAACTGAGATGAGCTGTGCATTGTCTCCTTCCAAAAACAAACTAACAGTCAGGATTCTTGTCCTCTTCCTGACAGCAGTTCTCTTCCTGACAGCAATAGTGATGCTAAGGATTCAAGGAGACAAAGAAAACAGAAGGTCCAGTTTGCTTTTACCATGTGCATGCTCTGCCACTTAACAGAGCTGGAACTGGACACCAGCAGTAGTGTTGATTCTGCAACACTCAAATGAGGATATTTCTTTCAGTACACATCTTACCACAGGTGTCAAGGTCTTTGTGCAATTAGATCATTGCAACACATGGTATGTGAGGCTGCATCTCAAAACCAGCCAGAAGTAGCACAGATCCCTGTGGCTGCATCAGGGGCTGTATGGTGCCTGTGTTTTAGTGAATCAGAGCATAGTCATACCAAGTTTTAAAAGTTACCAGAGGATTCCCAGCATAATGAGTTGTATTAATTTCATTAGCATGTCTCTTTCAGCACACCTCCGTTTAATTGAACACCTTGATTGGTACAGCTGAACTCCTTAACTTCCACTGATTGACAATAGCTAGAGGAAGCAAAGCTGCACTGGAATTGGCTTTAGGACAAAAAGGGCAGTGGCAGAATGAGTGTGGTCTTTTGGGGGATCTGGAGTGAAAGGACAGTTGTGGAGGAGGTGGCAGCTGCTGTTTGTTGCAACAGATCTGATTTATGTAAGTTCCTTTTCTTTATTTGTTTGAGTGGACTTAATGAGAAACTTTAGAGTTTCTATTGTAGTTCACTTTTAACTTTGCAATGTAGCTGTTGAGTTTTGTGTTAACCTTGTGATTTTGGTAGATTATGCTCCCTGTGTGTGGTTCTGCTGTTAGGAAACAGTTGTGATATCTAATGAAGCACCTTGAGAAAAAAAAAGACTTCTCTGGTAATCCTTGAATACATGAACTCTTACTTGAAGGGAATAATTTGCTCAAAATTACTTTGTGGCTAGGAGAAGTAAAAAGGGGAAAATGTAATAGATCTCTTAAACTACTAAGCTCTTAAGTATGTGATATGAGTTTGTTTTTATTTTAATTTAGACTGCTTGATTAGGGCCTAATACAATTAGACCCACTTCTGGCCTGTTCCTGCTGTAACTCTTAATAAATCTTGTTCTGCTTGAGGAGATGTGTTTTGATATATGATAACTCTTATTAAAGACTGTAGTTGCTAAGAAATGTAACTAGTAATTTCTGCCTTGACGGTCATGGTGGATTTTCAGTTATTCTTTTACTGATTAGTGATTGATTTACTTAATTACTTAATTATCCTTTCTCCCTTGGAGAGAAATAACTATGTTAATTAGTTCCTTGTAATTCTTGCTATTTCTTAGGTAGACAAATATATAAAGTAGGAAACAGAAATGTGGTGTAATCAAGGCCACTGTGGCCAGAAATGCTTGGTGGCTCTAGCGCCTTAACCTGAGGTGTATATTAAAGCATGCTGTGTGCATTTTTTCCTTTTTAAAAAAAGCATCTTGGATTGCCAGCTTGAGAATGAAGAAACTAAATGCTTATAAAAGCCTGTAATACTGAGTTGAGAGGGATTTGTAGCAGTTCCAAGACTGAACCTGTCTCCTGCTAACCTGTTTGGACCTCCCCCCTTGAGATAGACATTCTCCAGGTCAAATGCATAACAAAGGAGTAGAGAGGATTCTCCTTTTAGACAAGTAGCTAAAGTAACACAAATGCTCATTAACAGTGTTGAAAGCGCTCTGCTAGATGATATCTAGATAGGAAGACAGAAGTTAAGAACTTAATAGCTCTGCTTGTGTAGAGTATGAGGATCTTTGCCTAGCCGAGCAGCTCCCTGTAGGTATTTTTTTCCCTTCTTTGTCCCGATTGGATCCATTCACCTAATGACAATTCTGTCTTTACTTAGCTATTCCTGAAAATACAGGTGTCTCATTAAGAGGACCGAAATCTGTTTCCAACAGAGAGAGGACTGCAGTAAGCCCTAGGACAGTGATGGATGTCTACTTGAAGATTTGTTGTCACAAAACAACAATCTTCACTGAGGCCAAAGAGATGACAACTGTGCATGAGTTGAAAAAGTTTGTGGAGGGAATACTGCAGAGGCCACCAGAGGAGCAGTGGCTCTACAGAGATTATCAGCTGCTGGACAATGATAGCACTTTGCTAGACTGTGGTTTCAGCATCCAAAGCTGCTGTCCTCATGTTCCTGCCACAGTGAGCTTAGCTTTGTTCAGACCTGGCAATGGCACCTTTGAGCCATTGCATATTGACCCCTCCTCAAGCACTCCAGAGCTACCTGATGTAATGACCTCACAGGAGCCTTGTAGCACAATGCTTGCACACTACAGCTGCTAAAACCAGCATCTCTTGGTTTGCCTCTTGCAGACAGATTGCAGGTCTTGTCTATGTATCCGTTGTCCATCTACACCCTTCCGAATGTGTCTGACCAGTAAAGCATTGCAATTCAATTACATGATGTCAATATGCTGTATTGTCCAGGCAGCCAACAGAACTGTTTTCTGGGATCTTTCCCTCAAATTAGTGCTAGACAAGAAGGGTGGCAGCAGCTACATTTGTGCTTCCTGAATTGTAAATGGCATGTTCTGCCACTTGTGTTTCTTCTAGCCTGTGTCTGTGGACTAATACTCTGAGCTGCTAGGTTTTTGGGGGGAGGAAGAAGTGTTGCACGGACTAACTTGGTATACAAGCATTTATTTCTGTCTTCATCTTGACTTTTGACAGTAGTGCCTCTGAGGAGCTTGGCTGGAAATCTTGGGGGACAGGGGTGCAGAAGGAAATTTTAGTCCTGCCTGTACCAAAGTCATTAGGATGGCTATAACATTAAGACCTGAGCAGAGGTAAGGTTAACAAATGTAGCTTATTACCTCCAAAGTTAAGGGACACTGCACTAATACAATGCACAACAATTAATTTCAAGGGTTGACATGAAGTACAGTTACTGGCATGGACTTTGGAAAACCTCTCTCAACTGGACTAAGATTTTTCTTCAAAGTACTAAGAGTTTTATTTCTGGCATCTGCCTTCTCCATTCTTGAAAGGCAAGAAAAATGCAGTGGGAAAATAGCAGTATAGCTAGAAACTGATATAATAAAACTTCATTTTGAAAACTTTGAGTTGGTTACCTATTAATGTTTCTACTGTTAAGAAAGCTTATGAAGTTGCTTCATTCCCAAACAGAATTTATTTCAGCACTATTTTTTTTCTATGAGCAATATTCTCTATGTCAGAATTAGTATTACATTTTTCCCTTTCAGCCCGAGTAATGATTTCCCAAGCCATCACATCTGACACAACTTTGCCCTTTTCAGAGGGCAACCTCCTACTTTTGCTCTGTATTAAAAATCAGTGGTGCTAATGCATCTGTTCTTTTAATGAAACTTTGAGGTAGTGTTATTTTTAAGTTTTCATTCTCCTGTATCAAGGATAATTCGGGTAGGCCAGTCTATGTCCAAGTTCAAAAAACACACTTAAACTACTCAATTCTGTACATGAAAATTCCTTGGAGATTTCTCTCTGTACTAATCGATTAAAAACACTTTGAAAATGCAACTTACATTCTTAAACCTCACTGGAGCAAACAGAAACTGAGCTCAAGTCTGCCAGCTGAATCAGGATCTAGGTTTTTGTGTTCTCTGTAGTGCCGAGTTGTCCATCCTCACCTTCCAGGACTGGAGCACTGTGGCAGAACTTGGGTGCCATCTAGTGACTTTATAGGAGAGAAGAGAATACAAACGACAGAACATCAACAGCTGTCGTGTGTAGATAAATAAGCTGTACTAATGTGGCTGGACTGTGTTTACAGCAATCTGCTCGGTCAAGCTCCTGATACTTCCCACTGGGCCTGCTGAAAAACTTAGGTCCTCTCTGAAACTCTGAGCACCAAGCAAAGAATAGTGACATGCCACTCTCCATTTCTGATAAAATTTTGGTCATTCTAGCTTTCAAACCACTGACTGAAGAGAGATATAGGTGTCCCCCATTCAGAAGAGCTACTTGAAAGAAAGTGAAAGGAGATGTTATTGAGGAATACTGACTATTCAACCGAAGTTATATCCTAAAAACATAGGCCTGAGGTGAGCCACATAAGCAAACCAGATGCTGAACTTCGGGGTGTTATGCTCACAAATGTCTCTGCCAGGACACATCATAACGTTACAGAGTTGATCCCTTATCTAACACATTTGTATAATTTGCTGTTAATATTGGAGAATAATATTCTCTGCTTTGAATGTACCTGTTCAACAGTCTGCCTTACAAACTCAAATACTATATACAGGAACAAACAACTGAGCTGAAAACAAAGACAGTTTTGTTAAATAATCCAGTCTATAACTCCAGGGGTCTAAAGAATTTTGAATGAATACTGGACCGAGCCAGACCCCCCTCACCCTTCTTGACCATTCTTTGGTGTGCAGGACAGCATCTTTTTGTCCAGGAGCAGGGCAAGAGCAGGAGAGCACCCCAATAAAATAAGCTTTTGTAGCCTACAGGAAGCTTCCTCCTTGTGTAGGACATGGGGCAACTAAGGGATAGTACTGTTAGAGATCAGATGAGTCCCAAAATAGGAACTGAAAAGGAGAGGCAAAGTGCCTCAGTGAGTTGTTGTGCTCTAGTGAGACTAACTTGGCTCAGGATAGCACATAAGGGAAGCTACACAGTCCTAAATTGGTATTTCAGCCCAGTCCAGCTACCTTGACCTGCATACAGCAGACTGGATGGACTTCTGTGTTACACAGCTTAAAGAACAAATAATTTCACAGTCTCTGAGCCATTATTCTTAGCTGTTAAACAAAACTTATTGTCTCTTTAGATTTTCACTGTCTTTGTAGGTCAGGGCAGCAATGGGAGAAACCTCTGCAACTACAACAGAGAAAATACTGGGATGTTCTAAGGAAGGCTGTCATCTTGTGGTGGCAAAGGACTGTAGTTTAACAGTGCTCCATAATGGGGATCTACTTGAACTACTGACTATGCAAAAGCACTGAAGACCTGGGGAAGTGCGAAAAGCATGAGTCAGTGGTTGAGACTTACATGCTGAAAGAAATGAAATGTGAAAACAGCATTTTTGGGAGTGGGGAGAGTGTTAAAGTAACCCAGTCTTGTGGAGTGTTTTAGATTGGTTGTACAGCTTGTGTGTTCTGGAATGTCATATCAATACCTGTTATAAAGCCAGTTTGACCTAAAATAAACCACAGCTTGGCTCAGGGAAACATGCAAACTGCAACAGATTTGAACGGAAGCTTTAAGGCTTTCAAAAGGTGTGAATGAAAACTTTCCTCCGTATCAACAGAAGAGTTAACCAAGAGCAAAGTGAACAAGAAAAATATGTTATTAATTGAATTTATCTATGTTTTTAATTGGCACAAAGCAGAATGTGAACTGAAAATCTCTAGTTTCTTTGGTATGCATAATGTAAATAAGATAATGTGCTTTCCTTGCTTATAATTGTTTAAGTTGGATTTTATTTCTAAGACTGTGGCAAAAATCTTAATCGAAACAAAACATGAATGGGTACAAAAGCATTAAGTTTTAAGTGATAAACACCGTTTAATAGGAAAGTTTCTATCGAGATATATGTGTGTTCTGGTGCTTGGTTTAAAAGACTTGGTAGGTGGTAAGCTAAGGACTAGATTTCTTTTGTTAAGGCAATAACACCTTCATGGTACTCAAAAGACTTGCCTTGAAAATAATTACTGGAAGTAGGGGGCCGCTTACCAGGAACTGCCTCTCTAGCAGAGCTAGCATGAGAGCTCTGTGCTACAAGGTGGAGACAGAAACTGTGGGAGAAGAGAGCATACCTCTTCTACTTCGCTTGGGTTGTGTTGCTTCCCAAGATTCTGTGGGGTCTCTTGAACATGTTGGGATAATCGAGGAAACTCTTACGTTAATGTTTTCTTTCCACTATGTGGAGCTAGTGCTGTTACGATCTAAAGCTTTGAGGGTAGAGGGATGTGTTCTTTGTATGGGACTATAGCTGTGTGTGTTGAAGGAAAAAAAATGCCAAGGCAACACATCATTTGGCAAAAGTGGGAAGAGCAAAGCAGAGCTTTGTATGCACTGTCTCTGCTTTCTCAGTTCTGAGGGTTTTGTCATCCACCCACAGCTAGACCCCTTGCTACAGAAGGGAGCCAAGTCCCTGCTGTACTTCTGGTGTTCCAAAACTAGATGTGATAGATGACATCATCTGTTTCCATGTTGAAACTTGGAGCAGACAAGAAGAAACCAGACTGCTCCCTGGAGGCTTTTTGGATTAGACACAAAATGCATCTTTTCTACTTCTGCATAACAGGGTAGATCCACGTATCATAACAAGAATTGGCAGATAGTGGAGAAAGGTGCTTGAGTGCATTTAAAATGTGATTAAATAGGTCTGGATCATGTAGGAGTGCTGTTTCAGGATGGCTTTTCTGGAATCTGGGTGCATACATCTACTCAGCCTTAAAAATGAAAGTAAATCTTTTGTCATGGCTTACTTAAGACTTGGTGTTCTCTAGGACAAGCCTTACAACTGAACCTGGAAGTCTCTTGCAGACAGAAAGATACCCATTTAATGGTTTGCCTTGGAAGGAACCTTAAAGATCGCCTAGTTCTAGTTCTACATCCCCACCCCTCCCCCCCATGGGAAGGCACATCTTCCACTAGGTCAGGTTGCTCAAACCCCTGTCCCACCTGGCCTTGAACACTTCCAGGAGTGTGGTTTCCACAGCTTCTCTGAGCAACCGGTTCCACAATCTCATAAAGAATTTCTTCCTTGTATCTAATCTGAATATACCCTCTCTTAGTTTAAAAACTTTATCCCTTGTCCCATCACTACAGACCCTGTTAAAAAGTGTGTCTCTATCCTTGCTGCTACCTTTCCTGTGTCACCTCCTTTGGTGGAAACTCTAAATAGCAACCCTACAATTCCTATGCACCTTGGTGCACTAATTTCTCAGAAAGTACTTCCAAGTCCTCTAGCCTCAACCCTGAAGTTTTGGGGTATGCACTAGGCATGGTGTTGATTAGAAGATGCCTTATGCTTTCTCTTAGCATAGGCTTGCAGAGGGAAATGAACAGATTCATGGCCCAGCTGCTAACAGGGACAGTGCCTCTCAAGCAATGTCACTAAATGTGGGTAGATTGTTTTGTGAATATTAAACCTTGAGCTTTCCAAGCAGTTGAGAGTGGGAACCAGAAACAGAAGAGGAAAGCTAGTATTTCTGCTTGCAGTCATGCAAGTGTTTTTTGCCAGTTTCCCAAAGAAACACATGCTTTGTAGTAGGTGAATTTTGACTGTATGTGGAAGTATGTGTGTGCAGTTCCAAAATGGTTCTAACCCAACTTCAGCATTTTTGGCAGGTGCTGAAGGAGGTGGGGCTGGTCATCCGGAACAATGATTTGCACCAGAACATTGGAAAACAAACCTTTAATGCTAGAGTAAAGAAGGTGGTAGCTAGCGACAAGCAGGAAAACTAACAGCATGCACATGCACTGGGTTAAACCAATTAGGGAGCTGGAGTCTGAGGTAAAGGCAGTTTATTACTGCAAGAACATACATAGTAAGAAGATGGGCTCCTTTTTCTGGGTGGGGCTCAAATTGCATCTGCCGCTGGGGTGGCAATAAGAGGGAGAAAAATCTCTCCTTTATGCTGTATAAAAAAAGGCTGAAGACTATTACACAAGCTCCAGAATGATCTGCCCACATTCCATTCCACTACAGCAAATCAGGATGGCCTCACAAATGCCATCTCCTCTTGGCAGGCAAACTGTTTTACTCTTCTTTGTTGCATATTGGGATGGGCTGTGAATCTGAATGTTCTACCTGCTGTAAACAGCAAGATTCATGCTTGAGAACATGAATCCTCTCTGTACACAGATGACACTTGTAAAATACAGAATAGTGGCTTGTTTTATAAGATCCTCTTATGACTTGCATGCTTGGATAGACTCTATCTGGAATGCCTCATGGTTTGTAATGGTCCCAGCCCTTGGACAATTTTCAGACATTACATGATGGGATGCTTCATCTGCTTCTACTCAGTCTGAGACTACTCCAGCTGACAAAACTAAGCACACAGTGAAAAGCTCAGGGGTAAATGGCTCTCAGTGGATTTCATTCTGTTTCAGAGATAAGATCATGATTTGCAGTAGAATAGAAAAGACTGGTGCCCTAAGAACAACTGGAGGGGTGTGTGTGGGTGTGTGTGTGTAAACCCCTTGCTCTAGTGATGCAGAAAAGGAAGTAACTGAGGAGGGGAGGAAGCTGGCTAGGCATGGAAGGAGAAAAATTACCCTCTCTTTCAGAATACTGCACAGAACTTGGTCTCTTGTATGCTGAGACCATAAACACAAAGCTCAACTTCAGTCAAATGCAAGTCACAATTCCATACTCATCAACACTTTCAGTTTAGGCTATGGTATTGCAGAAAAGGAATACTTCAGTCGTTCAGGGCAGGTGTCTCCATGCTGAACCCAGAATGTCTCTTCAAGTACCAAGAAAATGTATACTGCTGCCTTCAGAAATGTCATCAGAGCATCTTGCTTTTTGGTTGCTATTATATTCTCAGTCTTTGTATTCTCTAGCTTGTAGTTTTCCTGAATAAGATCCAGAGTCATAATGCTATTTTTGACTGGTTCTAAGAAATGGTTTCTTATCACTAAAGGACATCTGATCAAGAAAGAAACTAATCATATGCCTAAATTGTTGGTTACAAAGCTTGTTCCACACTGACCTATAATTGACTGTCTGTAAATACCACAAGCACATCCCAGTACCTTCCAGATATGGGTAGATTTGGGGTGGGGGTTGGGGGGAGGGGGTGTGGTGCTTGCCTCACCCCTGCAGAGAGCAAGACCAGGCCCTGCTGACAAGGTGTGTACTGATTCCATAATTTGAAACAAGGAACTATGGAAGCTCTGACATGGGCTTTCTGTTACAGGGAAGTAGAGCATGGAGATGTAGGATGCGCATAGTCGCTTGTGGAAAGAGGCAACTGAACAAATGTATCCATTATGAAGCAGCTCCCCAGTGGAGAGCTTACACTGGGAACTGTATCCCTCTCAGTTATCGTTTGTGAATTTGCTGAGCAACTTCCCTGTTCGAGTTCAGACAAGATCAGTCTCTCCATCCAGCCACAATCCTGTCCATTGGTCAGTTTAACTTGAATTTCTTAAGTGTTAATATGTAGAAGACTCTTTCTTTTACCCAGACCCCAGGTTAAGCACCGTCTGTGGTGTGAGTGCAATGGAAGTATAGTGTTGGGTTAGACTGAGTAGCTGGTGCCCCTTGCAGCCCATAGAGTGGCCAGGCTCCAGGGAACCATACAGGATAAAAGATCATCCTATAATGCATTGTCCTAGAAAAGTGTGTTCAGTAGATCTCTAAGTTGCTTCTCTTTTCTTTCCCATGTCTTTTTAAAATGTTAATTCTTTGTTTCTATCCTCGAAGAAGTAAATGTCACGTGTTTCTGATGCTTCATCTGATCTTATCTTAGGTTTAAGATACGGCTGTGCACAGATAACAGAAGATAATTCCTAGCACTGAAGTGTGACTAGAGAAGAATAAAAATTAACAGCTACTAAGGATGCTTCAAAATGTCGCCTTTAACTTCTGATCGCAAGGAAGGAACAAGTCTGTTCTTTCTTCGTTAAGAGGTAGAAGGAAGAGAAAACGAGTCTTTTGTGAGTAGATATCAGTTTTATCAGATGATAGGTTTTATGAGCAGATTTTACTCAACAGCTGCATTTTTTCAGTATTTTGGAACTTGTGTGAGAAAGCACCCCTAAAACAAAAAAAGGAAATATCCCTCAAATCCACAATCCTTCTCTGTTAGCCCACCCACTCATGGACTTGGCATTCTTTTGAGTGATCATCTTTCTCCACTACTTTAAAAGTGCAGGTCTCCTTGTTGAAAATGCGGTAACATTTCTCTTTATCGTAGCCAACTGGTGTTCCAAAGCTGTCATTGGGAAAAGAAAGACAAAGAGGTGATGAAGTAAGCAGCTTCCAGTTTGGATGGTATTTACACTTCAGATATGAAGAGGTGTTCAGGAGCAGAAAAAGGAGCACACATAAAGCTCCCAGCTCAATGTTGCTTAGCCTGATGCTTAAGCACGATGAGGGGTGTGTTGTTGTATATTAATCTGATTTACACCCAAGGGATGTTTGTTGTGTTTATTTGCTACTCCAATATCACTGCTTTTTCTCTTCAGACACAATATGGAACAAGAATTGCACGAGTGGTTGGGTGTTTTTATAGAAAAACTACAGGCAGGACACGAGCCACTTCTCAGAGTAAATAGGGGCAATATGCAACTTCGGGAAGATCTAGATTAGGAACAGTAGAAATTTCTTAAGAAGCTACGTGTTCTCTCTTGAATCAGCATCTTGCTTGAAATTTTAGCCCCAAGAAGAATTAAGTCCTCAGTTTTTAATCTAGAATCATTTGTTAAACATGAGCTATATTTGTCAGTGGAAATTCTTGCATGCTCAGTGATTATGGTGTCAGGTTAATGTCTTTCTTTGTGATATGAAGTGAGTGAGAGAAGGGTTGTGGTTGTTTTTCAGGGACCCCTGTATGAAGTGAAGTGATTTACACTGTATCATGGCAGCAAAGGAAAATCCCCACTGATGCTCTGAACTCACCTAGCACAGCAGGCAATTCCTCGCCTGGAACAGGAGCAATCATAGCACTCATCAGTCCTCCACTTGGAATTAAATTCATGCAGCTTTCCTTCTGAGTCACGGCAGCCTGAAAACGTAGTGCATAAGCAACCTTTGGTATCAGACCTGTGACACTAACAATGCTATTGCTTGTACAAAATGGGTGGGATCTCTGACTTTTTACATTAACATCCCTATCTGGCAAACACAGAGGTTCCCCAACAAGAGCAGGACTGCTACTATCAATGCATGGAGAAGGGTATCCTGGAACACTGTTTCCTGTGGCAGCATTGGGTTGCCTGAAGTAGTTCAAGTACAGGAATCAGAGCACCCAGCAGAAAAGAAACTAGGCACAGACCTTATCAGAATTAAGAAAAGGTTTGTGCCCTCATTAACGCCAACTACTGTTGACTTCTCATTTAGAACAAGCTAAATCTGCCTAGAAAACTTTTCTTAATCCTCAGCTGCAGGAAGAAAGCACATATTGGATATAATGTTCCTGTTTACCAGTCATGGAATAGACTTCCTAAATGAGTGATCTGGAAAGCAGGACTCTCTGAGGACCAGAGAAGACAGAGTGGAGGTGTTGTGGTTTAACTCTGGCTA